TGCTGAGAACTCACCCTAGGCTGAGCCCAGCTCTTTGTGCTTGTGTCCCAGCATCCCCATCACCTAGCTACTCTCACAGTTTTTCACACTGCAAACAAGGGCGCTGGGACTCCAAGAAGTGAAACCCAAGGCCACCCAGCTGAACTCCTATTCCAAGTTCCCACCCTTGCTAATCTTCTACAGACAAGCCCAAAGAGAGGGAGTTGCTAGGGACAAGAGGTGCAGTCAGGTGCTCCAGGCTTGGGTCCCAGGAAAGAGCCGAGAACAGGGCTGACTGAACAAAGGCCACTGTCCTCACCATCTAAACAACTTTCATGAGAAAAACTCCCAGGGATCTTTGCAAAAATATCTGCAGAGCCCTTCGTCCTGGAAGCTCAGGTGGTCACTTGAAGCCAGAATTGTATCCACTCCAAGTCATTAAGGGACAGGACTCAGTGTCCCTGGAATCTAGTCTATGCTTATACTGATTGAGAAAACTGGAGGACCCCCCAGGGAGGGTCTCACTGGTCCCCTTGGCTCCACTAGCGAGTGTGTCGCAGAGTCAATGCTGTAGGTCTGGGGTGGTGGGGCTGCTTGTAGGCTGCTTCCCAATGCCACCCACCAGTCACTGTTTGTCACTGCTGATGACTGGGAGTAGCCCCATCCCCATATCCCTAGGGGCCTCTGGAGGCTCTCAGTGCTTCCCTGCTGCACTTAGGAGAGGGGATGAGCCTGTCAGGAACCCAGGTGGAGGGCCTGGGGCTACTTAGTGGCCTGGCCCTTACCTGGAAATAGCAGTAGCCATATTGCCAGGCCACCCCCATGGTTGCTTGAGGCTTCTGTCTCCTGAGGGTATGGGTAAAAGGCAGCACAGAGGCCATCCCTGGCTTGAGCTTTTCTGGAGGTGCTCATTGGGGGGCCCCAGCCTTGAACACAGCATCCATCCTCTTTTCCTTCCTCACACACAGCCAGTCCTGCCCAGGACTCACATTGCCCCAAAGGAACTCCAGCCCTGCCCAGTCCAGGGAGCAAACCTGATTGGCTGAAGCTAATCAATTTCCCAGAGGTAGTCTTGCAAGTTGGCAGGGGATCCAGTTTTGGCCAATAGAATGTGCCAATAAGAGCTAGGGGGACTACAGGGACAATTTTGTCATTCTGCATGGGTGTCTAGGTGGGTGTGAAGCTTTGCCGTCCATTAATCTTTGGACCAGAGAAGAGCTGGTGTGAGGACAGGCTCATGTGCTGAGGGGGGCAGAGGAAAGAGGGTGGACCTGGATCCTTGAATACTCTGCAAAGTCACCAAATCAACTCCAAGATCATTTGACTTCCCACCTGCTGTTCCTGGAAAGAACCCACATTCCCATCATGAAGCCATTCTAAGATAGTCTCCGCTGCTCACTTCCAAACTCATGGACCATTTGAGCCTTGGTGAAAATGTTGAAATGTCTCTTGGGAAATAGTTCAGGCGAAGAGTAATGGGGGTGGGGAGAGCCTGACTCTGGAAGGCTCAGTGTGGTTCTGAGCAGCACTCCTGGGCTAAGGTAGGAGGGAGGGATGGCCGGCAGCACCTGGAGGCAGCCCCTGCCTTCCCGACCTCCAGAAGTCAAAAGTGCCCACCAGCCCAGCTCAGCAACAGCTGACTCGTTTTCTATTATTCTCCAGGACAGGCAGGGGTGATCTGGTAGCAGTGGTGATGGTGATGAGCACTGTAGTACCTTTTCCACTGCTCCTTTTGGTTTGCACGTTCACTGGATCACAACCACCAGAGAAGTTTGAGGGCGATTCCCAAGGCAGAGTCTGAGGCCAAGTTCACTGGCAGCCTGGCTCAATCCTATCTGTGAGTCTCTAGGTAGGCACAGCCCTAGGAGAGTCTGGCCTTCACCCCAGGAAGCCTAAAGTGGGTGGAAGAAACAGCCCTAATAGCCCAACTCCCCCCCCACCCCACCCCCAACAACCGCGATCCTCATGATCTCTGCCTCCTGAGTAGCTAGGGTTACAGGCGTGAGCCGCTGGCGCCCAGCGCAATGTGTTTTCAGTCATAATTATACATCTTCAACTAAAAAGTCATCACCATTATATGCCACAGACCACATCCAAATCTCTCCATGGAACTTTGAAAACACTTGAGAATAAATTATGACCCAAACTTACTCTTCGTAATGACATGTCTGAAGTTCAACTCTTGAATAAAACGATTTGGGGATATGAAAACTAGAGTCCCCAGCAGTAAAGGCAAGGCCCTTCAAAGTGGTCAGTTCTTGTTCTGATTAAATTGTGCATTTTTAATATAGTTGGTATAAAGTGAAACTCTTTTTTTAAAATGTAGGAATTTAAAATAAAACAGAACATCCTGTTTTCAGGGTCACAGTATCACGGTGAGATGTGTCTCTCAGACAATGACACTTAGTATCTCTGTAGTTCTATGAATACTTTTGAAGTGTCATATTAAAACCAATCTCGTGGCCTTGAGGCAAAAGGAAGCAATTAGTCTTGGAATTGTGAATAAATAAAAATCCATTTATACACCCGTCCTTGACATGTACCTTCCAAGTCTTAGAAACTTCATCTAGTGGGAAAAGAAATGTTAAATCATGAATACCAGTACTAACCATGTCGCCATGTGGCTTCCTGAAACAGTTGTGTTTACACCAGTCTTTTAAGTGTTAATTTATATGTACATATTCATCCATATCGAACACAGAACAAAGACGTACTAGTAAGCCACCAAGAAGAGGAGGGTGCTGGGATCACAAACAGGTTTTCAGAGGGTCCTTGCTTCTCCAAGGAGCCTGGTGCATTTGTCCCTGGTCTTTGCTCCTTAAAGACGTGGGGAGGTTTCTGTCCCTGAAGGTGGTGACACCCCACGGTGACTTCCTTCACTGGTGATTCCAGGCAGAACTTTAGGGAAGACCTCTGGAGGTCACAGTATTTGGTTAGTTGCGTCACTTCTTTTTTTTTAAGGGTCTGTTTCTGCAATGCTAGGGGGCTTTGCCTGTCGGACAGATGGGGCAGTCACCCACACAGAGCTAAGTGGACCCCTCAGGTTGGGCACCCAGCATCAAGAGTGGTGCTGTTTAGCCCAAGTTGAGAGCAAGAAGCTGGGGGGCTCCAGAGCGTGGGGGAGCCGCGAGTGGGCAGCCTTGGGCGGCCCTGCACAGATCCCTGACCTACTTCCAGGGCCCCTTTCTGTTCTAGGAGCATCTTAAAAAATCCATAAATTAGGGAAATTAACTGATGGGGCCCAGGGCATCCTTGTAAGCTATTTAAATCTATAAATTTACAACATTCTTCTGCATATATCAAGTAATTGAACTAACTGCGGGGATGTAACTTTAATGAGAAAATTTCCCTCTTCTCCAAGTAGATGGAGAGCTAAAATAAATAAATAAGTAAACAAATAAATAAATAAAATCTTCCCTTAAGAGGAAAGTTTCTGCTTATTCCCTGTGTGGAGAAGTTACAGAAAAGTAGTCCGGACACTTTGCTCCAGGTCCCCTAGCCACTCCCCACTTTATCCTGCTCCCCCCAGCCAGCCTCCCCCCCGCCCCCACTGCACTACGCCCCGGGAAATCTGGCCACTAGAGGGCGCCAAGGCTCGGCCGGAGCTCGCGGAGGGGGCGCCGGGCTTTCCGGAGCTCCCCCGCCCTTCTGCTTGAACCTGGCTCTGGCCGGGGCGTCCCGGGAGCCAGGCGGGGGCGCAGTGGGAGCGGGGCGCACCGGCCGGGATCCGTTTCCTAGGAGCTGGGAAATGGTCTAGGAGGAGGAGGGACGGGCGGGGCGCAAGGGAAAGAGGAGGGAGAGGAGGAGGAGGAGGAGGAAGGGGCAAGAGGACCCTGGGACCAGCTTGGGGTGCCCAGGGCGCAGGCCTCCATGGCGCCTTGGGGAGCTTTTGGCCGCCACCGTCTTCATCGCGCAGCGCGCGTCAAGGAAATGGCGCGTCTAGCCTCGGGCTTGTGACCCGCCGGGTGCCCCCCGCCCCTCCCCCGCGGTGGCCACCGCGTGTCCGCAGACGTCACGGGCGGCGCTGCGCCCCGGGGGAGAGGGGCAGCCGGGGTAGAGACCTGGGCAAGAGGGACGGGGAGGGGGAGGGGGTGGGGGGAGGGGGAGGGGCGGCCCTGCCCCGGGCTCTGCTCCAGTCCGGGTCGACTCGCAGCCCAGTTTCTTCCCAAGTCCCGCCCCCAGCCCCGGGCGCCGCGGCGGCGGCTGCTGCTCTCCCCTTTGTAACCGAGGAGTCAAGAAATGTGAGAAACGTGCTCTGTGTTACTTATTTGGGAACCGAAAATTTATGCCCAGCTGAAAACGCCCGGGGAAATATTACATCAGATGAAATGACAATGATTAAAATCAGCTTCTCCCCCGCCCCCTCCCCGAGCCCGGAGGAGGCCCGGGCGCCGCGTGGCCGGCCGGCGGGAGGGGGGGGGAACGACAGGGGGGCTGGGCCGCGGAGGGCGCGGGGGGACCTGGGCGCCCCGATCGCGGAACGGTCCAGGAGGAGACCCCCGGCGGGAAGGCACGGGCTTCGGGGCCAGGCGGGTGGGGATCGCCTGGCGAAAGGAGGGGAGGCAAGCGCATTTTTGTCGCCGAGCGCGGCAGGCGCGGGCGCGCGGAGCTAATTGCGACTCTAATCCTCTGCCCCGCGGCGCAGCCGAGCCCCGAGCCAGGAGTCGCCGCGCGCGCCCGCTCGCGCTCGCCGCGCTGGGTAATTTGGAGCCGGATCGCTGCCCTTTGCGTCCGGGCTGGGCCGCGGCAAGGCGCGGGCTCCGGGCTGGGGTAGGGGGGCCGGGTTTTCTCTCCGACGATCGGGGGAGGCCGCTGGAGAGAGGAGGGTGGAGAGGAGGTGGGAGCGGCGGGAGGACAGCCGGAGAGCCGCGCGCAGCGGAGGAGGCGGCGGTGGCGGCCGCGAGGAGGGGAGGAGGCGAGGGGAGGGCGGGGAGGGGAGGCCCCGGCGCGGCGCGCCGCGAGGGGCCGCGCGAAGCGGGGGCCGGGGCGGGAGGGGTGGGTGGGGGGAGGGTTGGGGGCGAGAGAGAAAGTAACTCCAGGACGAGACCGGAGCGACCCGCGCAGCGATCATAGGCGACGAGGCTGCGCCCGGGCGCCCGACACCGGCGGCTGCGGGGGCTGCGCCCGAGCCCGATTCGTTGCTCCGGCTCCAAGGTAAGCCCAGCGCGGGCGGCCACCGCTCAGCCAGCGCCGCGCACCCCTGTTCCCAAAGTGCTTGCGATGCCGAGAAAGTCGCCCGGCCAAGGTCCGGACCTGGGCGGGGGCGGCTGCTTTGTCCCTCTGCTGGGCGGCGGGGGGCTGGCGGCGCGGGGGCGCCCAGCACAAAGGCCTGGCGCGAGTGACCGGGGGGGGGTGGAGGGAGTTGCCCACGTGGGCTGGTCCTGGCCGTGGGGTGGACCCTCCCCACGCGGGCGGGCCCCAAGCTTCCTGCCGCGCGGTGTTTGCGTGTGTCCAGGTCCCCTCACTCTGGTCCCAGTACAAGGCCGAGTGCCCTGCAGAGCTGGCGAGTTTCCGGGGTCAGAAACCGGCTCACTGCAGCTGGGGATTCCGGGCGCACAGGGCCCAGCTTGGCGCCGAAATCAGAGAAGGGAAAAAGTCTCTAACGGGACAGATGTGCGTCCTCTGACGCCCACCCGGCGAGTCCGGAGCCCGCGGGAGGGGCTGGCGCGCTGGTTGGTGGTCCCTGGTGCGCGGGGTGTGGGGCCGCGAGCGGGCCGCGCTGAGCCCCGATCTCCGCCTCCAGATGGATCCCGGCTGGCCTCCCGCACCCCCTGACCTGGACGCACACCCCCCGCTCCCCCTGCTGCAGCGCCTTCCCGTCCTCCGAAGCCCCCGACTGCAGAAAGATAAACCTTCAAGTTTTCACTCCGTGTCTCAAATGTGCACGAAGGAATTTAACTGCACGAGTGAATAACAGCATTAGTTTCAATTAATTTTTTTTTTAATCCCGGCAACAATAAACTTTGAGAACAAAAGCGCTTTTACGTCCTTAATTAGACGAGTTTCCCATCTGTGGTCTCCAAGTGTCTGCCTCTTGATTTAACTTTGTCCCCGCCCCCGCCGCAACACCCCTCCCTTCCCGGGCAGGCGCTTCGGGTGCCACTGCCACCCCGCCCCGCGGCGCCCGGAGCTTTGGCCCAGCCGCCCCGAAGTTCACACCGGCCAGCGGCCTTGGCTGCGGGGCTGGCGCGCACCAGGTGGCCGCTCGTGTCGCCCTGGGCCCATCCCCCGGACCATCCTGCTGGCCCCTGGCACTTTGGCCCCGGGCCTGCGCCCAGGGCGTGGAGCTGGAGGGAACTCGAGAGGCGCCTTCTGTTTACCTTTTATGGTTAAAATAACAGCTTAGCAAAGAAGCGACTTCACCAAGAAGCGATTTAGTGAAATCGTCTCAAGCTGCCGCAGCTCAGCCAGTTTAATCACCCCCAGAGAGCTAAACAACTGGGAGCACAATGGGACACAAAATCATTTTGTGTGTAAATGAGCGTGGCATTCTGCTCACTTCCCTCCTCTGCTCCTGCGGGCGGGGCTCGGCTGCGGGCGGGCGCGGGGACCCGGGTCTCCCGCCGCAGCGTGGAGCAGCGGGTCAATACCAGGCCAGTGTGCAAACCCGGGGGCCCTCCCTCTCCAACATTGCCACTGAGGCCCGGGCAACAGGCGGCTTGACTGAGCCTTGGGAGGGTGGCGCACGCCGGGTCTGGGTGGTGGGGTTGAGGTTGGTGTTGGTGGGAATGAACTTGTGTGTCTTACTGCATCTACTTTTATGCCCTGGCTTCAGCAGTGGTCTCAGGAAAAAGGGTCGTTGTCCAGCACAGATGTATTTGTCCGAGGGAGCTTTGGAGATTCCGGTCAAGGCGTAAAGCCTGGGGCTTCCAATGGTGAGTTTCTGGTTTGCCATGGACAACAGTTGTGTGGTTTGATGGGTTGCATGAGACCAGGATGGAGCAGCTTAGGAGATGGATGCTTGATGTTGTGTGCCACTTGTGATTTGTGTCCTAGAAGCAGGGAAAACGTGCAGTCCACTTTGCTTGCCCTTCCAGTCTGTCCTCCATGGGTGCCTCCTGACTCCTCCCCTTGCAGAGCCTTTCAGGGAGAAGCCATTCCTAAGGTCTGTTTTGGTTTCTCAGAACTTCCTTGCCATAACTGACCTGGTTTCCTTTAAGGCTTTCCAGAAGTCCAGAATGGACCTGAGTAGCAGCCAGCCCCCAGGTGAAGGTAGAACTGCCCCGCCCCCTCCCCCCCACACACTCCCCTACTTGTGTCAGGCCTGGGAACTTCTAGGCCCCTGGGGGCTAACAAATCACAGGAGAAGGACCTTCCTTACATTTGCAGGATTTGATTCTCATTGGACCCTGGTCCACGTTTTAAAATTGAATGTTGGATTTCAAGGCATAAATTTAGAAGCCAGAGTTTAACAGGAAAAAATGGCCTCTTGGGTCAGCAGACGTCCTATGATTGCTGTCTAAGGGTTAAACCTGTGAGAGAGAAGTCCAGGTTAGTCTGTGGAGAGAGAGAGAGAGAGAGAGAGGGAGTATGTGTGTGTTCACTGTGCAAATCCCCCTTCAGTCCCCATTGAGATAGCCCCAAGTTAGTAGAAAGGTGGGGGGCAGAAATCTGCCCTTCTCCACCCCTCCTACATGGGAACTGCATAGTGCCTTGGGGGTAGCTTCTCAAGACTGAGGGACAATCTTATTTCAGGTGGTTGTGACAGGAAAAAAATCCCTTAGTAGCTCTGGGGGGAGGCGGAGAAAGGGTCCCGGGTGCTGATTGCTGTCTGGCCAGGGAATGCCTCCAGGGTGTGTGTGTTCCTGAAGGGGTCTGGAATACATTAGGCACAGACCACACCATCCTGGGGTCTGGAGAAACTGGGAGGTGCAGTGGAGACAAAGACAGGTTTTCTGTGCTATTGGGAGCCATAGTGGGGAGAGAGAGGTTCCCAAGTGACTTCGTTTTATTCCTGTGCCCTGGCTTCTGCTAAAAGTGGCTTCCCTGTGTCTGGCCAGTGGCACACTGTATCTTAACATGGTGGAAAGAGGTCCTGGGCTTCCCAACCTGTCAGGGTGGGGGGATCCTTCCTGAGCTGCCGGTCGTAAGTTTCTCTGCTGATGCCAGAGGAGACACGCTTGGTAACATGGCTCTAAACCAAAATACCAGGAAAATCAGATTTGTTCTGAAACATTTCAGGGCAATAATAGTGAGCATATGTTTCAGAACTGTCATTAGCAGAATTAACAGAGAAGGAACTGCCCAGAAAACACATGTGAGTGAAGAAGTGAGCTTGTGCATGTGTGTGTAATAAGCTGTGTCCTGGAGGCCTGCTTTGGGCTGTGCAGATAGTGGGGGGTGGGTAGAATCTGGGAGGGCTGTCTAGTGCTCATGGGGGTCCCAGAGAGCGGTCCATCGTCCAGGGGTCACCCAGCACCCAGGACTGTTGGACAGTACGTCTTCTCTGCTTTTGTCGTTGCTTCCCACAGATATTCTGGGCAGGGATGGATGTCTAGATGCCTCACCGCAAGGAGCGGCCGAGCGGGTCCCAGCATCACACACACAGCGCCGGCACCGCGGTGAGCCTGCAGGGTGGGCTGGGACAGTCACGGAGGCCCCTCTTTGCTGTTTTCTGGGGTACCTGTTCACTGGCTGCTGCTCCTCTGGGTGCTGGCACTCAAGAGAAGGCTGTTGACTGGCTGTACCATTATGTATTTTTTTTTTTAAACAAAAATGCTCTTAATTTGATGTGAAATTTACTACATGTATAAAACTCAACGCCTTAGGTGCTGAGGAAGTCACTAATTTAGAGGTGTCTCGTTACTGAGACAAACTTGCAAAAACCCCTGAATCCCAATTCACAAATTGGTGATTCGTTTGTCAGGGGATATTTCACATCTAACACATAAGCCCGCGACCTTTAATTAGAATTTTGCAGTTTGTTTTCTGCCCCTGGAGGCTGACACCTTGAAAAAAATTTTTTTTCTTGATTTCTTATTGCTAATAAGCATCTTTCTTTTTCCCTCTGGTACTTTGAAGAAAATGATGCAAATACACTTAATTACAGTGGTGGCCGTAATTTGTCAGCTGAATATGTGATCAGGCAAAGGCACAAGTGATCTGATTAGATCTGTGATCACACGCACAATAAAAGGAGTTGCATGGCTGTGTCGTTTAGGTGAAACTCTCGTGTTTCTCCTTGTTTCTGTCTCCAGGAGGAAGGAAACATGTCCCGGCTGTCTCTCACCCGGTCGCCTGTGTCTCCCCTGGCTGCCCAGGGGATCCCACTGCCAGCTCAGCTCACCAAGTCCAACGCACCTGTGCACATCGACGTGGGCGGCCACATGTACACCAGCAGCCTGGCTACGCTCACCAAGTACCCCGACTCCAGGTAAGAGCGTGTTCCTCCACGCGCCTCCAGGCAGGAGGTGGAGACGGTAGCGGCCATAAGGACCTGAGCCCCGCAGCCCCCACACGGTGCTCTCTAGGGTGCAGGTCCTGTGAGCTAGGGCTTGTGAAGCTGGGTGTTTGTCAAAGGCTGCTCTGAACTGGGTTTGAGACCCTGCACCGGTGGCATTGACATTGACCATGTGGTGTGTAGCTCCTGCTGGCAGAGACCTGGACTTATTCAGAGTCAGCCCTACCTGATCTTGGTGGGGGAATCTTACAGACCTTCAGCATCCTCCTGAGTGAGACTCGGGCCTGGCTGCTGCCTGGGACCATTTGTGAGCCAGGGATGCTAAGTGTATCTGCATCGTGTGTGTGTGTGTGTGTGTGTGTGCGCGCGCGCGTGCGTGCACGCATGTGAAGGTGTGTGATTCGATTTACTATTCTAACCCTGGGGAACGTGCACGGGCAGGAGGCACCATGGGTTGCCCTCTTTGTCTGCTTGGGGTTTGGGTGGCCATCACTAGCTGCAGGCTGCAGTGACTGCCTGAGAATTCCAGCACATTGCAGGGTATCAGAGGCAATGGCTGATTGAGTCTCATACCCCATAATGGATAAAGTGTCTGTGACCAGGCCCCCGGGTGGGGCTGAGCTCCTCCCACACCCAGCCATCCTGACACTTGGCCTGAGGGAGGTGTTGGTTCTGTTGAGTCTTGCTCTTGCCCCTTGGGCGTTTCCCTCCCCGGGGTGGACCTGGTTTCCCGTTGGCACAGCAGCAGGGCTGCCGGAGGTGGGCTGGTCTCTGAGCATCTCCTAGAGGTGATGTGTGTGCTGCTGGCTGAGCCTGTTTGTGACAGTTGTCTCCCAGCACAGTGAGGCGGCCACCGCTCTGTGGGGCCACGGAGGGCTGAACAGTGGGAGGGCAAGACTGTGGGGCATCACCCCTGTTTTAGACATTGGAAATAAGAAGAGGAGTTAATTAATTCCCTAGACACCCAGGGATCATCTCTCGGGGGCGCTTCGTGGACTTGCTTGTGATCTCAAGTGTGTGGAGGCGTCTGCTTTCAGAGCCTGTGAGCGTCCCTCACAAGATTAGGCGTTCCCCCTCAAGAAGGAAACACCGGAGGTAGATATGTGTCTGGTCCAAAATTTGGGGTATAGATAGTGGTTGGGGCTTCATTCCTTCAGCCCCAGGGAGACCAGGCGAGAGGTCCTTGTAAAGTCTTGTAAGGCGCGTCGGGGGCAGGAGCCATGAGGCCAAGCCAGCAGCGTCGGCCAGCATGCTTGCTTGCAGAGCCCTGTCCAGGGTGGGAGATGGATTTTTTATCTCCTTGCAGTTTTGCCTTCTGCGGCATTCCCGAGTTGTGTGAGATAGATCACCCTTTAACCGGCCCACGATGTTTGTGAGTGAAATTCATAAAGTCTGTGCCTGAATACCTCTCGGAAGAATGTTTCCTGAAGTCAGACGTCTGATTTTTCTGGAGGAATCCCAGCCCAGGCCTGGGGGAGGGGGAGTTGAGTGGGGGGTCCTTCCTGCTTCTTGTCTCTGCTGCCACTGAGGAATCAGACCCAAGATGGGAGGTGGTCTTCCTCCTCACGCATCTGCCTGCTTTGCAGTGGGATGTGTTGTCTTCCTGGGGGACTGAGGACCCTAAGGCCCCGTGATCTGGCTTGTGGAACCCTCGGCTGGCAGGACGTACCCGGAGCGGGTGGCAGTCTGCATTCTTTCCCAGGGCTGGGGCTCAGGGTGAATCTGTTGTTCTGCCTAGGTGGCTTCTGGTTCGTGATAGAGCCACTCTGCAGGCCCGGAGTGTTGGCCTAGAGACCAGGGGCCAGTGTGACCTGTACGGTAGTTGGGATGGGGGTCAGGTGACGTGTGAGAGGTGGCTTGCAGAGCTATGCTGGAAGGGGCCTTACAGACACCTCTCATCCTCTCTTTAGTGAACTATTAGAATTTAGAATGGTTTTTCATTGCTTCTCGGCCTTTTGGCCAAGAGCAAGTGTAGTATCTGTTCTTATCAGTTTAACATCTGATCCGTCCTCTATCCGAGGACAATATATTAAATGGATTTTTGGAACAGGGAGATGGAACAGGAGCTGCTCTGATCACTTCATGCAGCAACCTGGCATCGCAGTACCTCTGGGAATGGTGCGCCAAAAAAATAAATAAAAATAAAATGGTTTTTCAGTAATTCTGGAAAAGACTGGCCTTCACCCAGTGTCACTGAGGGTCACCTGGTGACAGAATTAAAGTACTGAGGCCACTAAGGGGGTTGTAGTTGTCAGCAGAGTCCCACCCTGGGCAGCTTGGTGAGAACCAGGGGACCTGTTCCTTGGGTCCCTGTGCCCATAGCACTATGTCCTGGCCTCTGGTTCTTGTTCGGTCAGGGTGGCCTGGTGCCAGCTTCCTCCTCTGGCCCACCCAGCAGCAGCCATAGATTGTCACCAAGAAATGGCTGAGCACAGAGGCCTAGGGGACTAGGAGTGGCCCCTGGGTTTGTGCCTCCCCTTGTCTGGTTGGATCTCACTTAGCTGGTGTCATCACCACTTCATGCTGGCTCCATCCTCTCTGTGGGGAGCAGCCAGTGAAGATGACCAGAAGCTGAGGAATAATAAAACAGCCCAGAAATTGGAGCCACAGCTTTTAAAAAACAAAAGGAAGGGTAAGACGCCATTACACCTCCTTTTGGGTACCAGGGACAAGGTGTCTGCTGGATGGTGTCTTTCACATCCCCAAGGGACCCAGCTGCCAAAGTGTGAACTTGTCAGTTATTCCATGGAGGACTTCTAAAGTGGCCCATGGTTGGTTTCCACAGGGACAGGCGGCACCCACCAACAGAAGCCAGGAGGTCCCAGCAAGAGCTCAGTCTTAAGACCCTGTGAGTGGCTAGGGGTTCCTTCTCGGTGATTATCCAAATTGTCCCTCAGCCTGCCCACATCTGTGGGCGTCTCAGATGCTGAGTGCACTGAGTGGCTATGTCCTATGAGGAGGTGCACCGCTACCATGGGTCCCAACACAGGGACTGAACCATGGAAAGATCTAGAACTCAGCCAGCCCTGACGTCAGAGGGATTTGGAGCTCGGCCAGGCAGAGCACCTTGCTACTCAGCAATTGAGCTGAGCCGAGAAGGGTGGGGAGAGCTCCCAGGGAGGCCAAGGCTGTGACTTGCTGACTCACCTGTGGGTGGGAATCTCACCTCTTCTGACAAGTCCTCGATAGCCCCTCGCCGGTCTGCCTGCCACCGTCCATGGCACTGGTGGCCTTGCTCAGTCCCTGAATGTCCCCACTGACAGCTGAATGCCCAAGTTCTGCTAGGCCAGATGTTAGGGACTTTAAAAGCTGGAATGAACCATAGAGCCGATGAGGGGCTTGTGCCTCCTGGGACTATTGTCACTAGGACTGGGGGATTGATGGGTGGCTCAGTGGCCTTTGGAGCCCTAAGGAGTCATCTGAATAGCCGCCACTCTGGTTCCACGGGCTTGGGCCTCCACACCTCGTACCACGGGCAGCCTTGACCTTTCGTACTGCCCTGCTGGGATGGGGAGTCACCTGGAGGACAGGTGACAGGTATGAATGGGGGTTCCTGAGAGCAGCTCTGGGGACTCGAGGCTCGCCTGCTTCTGCCCAGCCAGTGTGTCCTGTGTACACATGGCACAGGGCGGGGACAGAGAAGCCCGGGAGCATCCCTAGAGGGCTGTGGCTGGTGCAGGCAGCTGGGGCCTTAGGCCGCACCTCACGCAGGCTGGGCGGGTAGTCCCAGGTCAGACCATCTTTCTCCTAGGCTTGCAGACAGGTGCAGCTGGCGTGATTGTGGCCTTGTGACTGAAGTCCAGTGGTGCTGCTATTAGGAAAACGTTCCACCTTCCTCCTGTTCTCCAGCTACGCTCTTGGCTGCTCCGCTCCCCCCTTTTGGCCTCCTGTTTATCCACAGCTTAGCCAGGGGTCTGCTAAACCAGAGGCTGCCACCCTGGCCTTGGGGAGGCACCAGCCCTGACTCTGTGACCTGGTTCCTTCTCTTTGGAAATAAGGACAGGTTATCAGGGGCTCTGCTCAACAAGTGCCCTGCATTTGTTGGAAGCGCTGTCCTTCTTCCCTCGGTCCCTGCCCTTCCCAGGTGTGGACACACTGTGGCACACGTGCTCACGTCCCGTTCCTCCTGCCCGCCTCTGTGAGTGGCTATGGGGATTTGTGACGTCGTCTCTGAGGGGCTTATGTTGACTGACGAGTGCCTTTGCCAGGGTTATGGGGAAGGGGACCATGGGACCCTGTGTCTGTTGACTGACTGCTGTGTCTAATGCTTGTTGACACGGGTTGGGTCCAGAAGGTGTGTGTCCCCAGTGACTGTTTTGGCCAGTTGACATGTATTCACCAGGTGTGTGGCTGTTGGTTGGGGTGTTGGGTGGTCAATGTGTGTTTTCTGGGTGCGTCTGGCTGGCTGTGCGGGAGTGTGTACCAGCTCTGTGACCTGCTGGTTCGTGTGGCTGTGGCTTGGGTGTGTAGCTGTGACATGTGGGAGCCTCAGTATCCTATATGACAGCAGCCTGGCTGCCTGAGGTGTGGACAGGCACCCGTCAGGCTGTAACAGAACCTAAGTGACCCACCCAGCAGGGCGGGTCCTGAGGAGTGGGGGCGAGGCAGTGGGCGCAGCCTTTCCCCCTCATGCTTCTGGCCCGGTCTCTCCCAGGATAAGCCGCCTCTTCAATGGCACGGAGCCCATCGTCCTGGACAGCCTGAAGCAGCACTATTTCATAGACCGCGACGGGGAGATCTTCCGCTACATCCTAAGTTTCCTGCGCACGTCAAAACTGCTGCTCCCAGACGACTTCAAGGTAGGTCTGCCCCGCCCGAGCTGTGGCATTGCACAGGGGACGCTGTCACTTAATAAATGGACCCATGGCTGTCATGGCAACGAGGGGAAAAAAAAGAAAACTGAAACGATGAAGCCGAGGGCTGAATCCGTTTTTTTAAACTAATTTTGTTTTCTCACATTTTTAGCTGCTTTATCAGAGTGTAGCAACAGTCAAGCTGGGGCACCTACCCCGGTCATGTTCGTCGGGGTTAAGGGTTGCTGTGTGCTGGAGTTGTGTGAGTTAGAGGTTCACAAGTCTGCTTCCTATTGGAGTTTGGGGGGGAGCCCTGATATCCAGACAGGTTACCCCCACCCCGGGGTCTTAGGATGAGCCTGTTCTGCCTTAATGCTGAGCCCCTCTGAGGTCCCAGGAATCATGGGAGGAAGAGAACTCAGGCCTGGGCTGCCCTGGCTCATGCTAGCAGATATCTGTCCTTCCTCCTTTCCTTCCTCTCTTCCTCCCTCCCTCCCTCCCTCCCTTTCCTTTCCCTTCCCTTCTCTTCCCTCCCTCCCCCCTCCATCTTCCTCCCTCCCTCCCTCCCTTCCTTCCTTCCTCCTTTTCCTTTCCCTTCCCTCCCTCCCTCCATCTCCCTCCCACTCCATCTCCCTCCCTCCCTCCCTCCCTCCTTTTCCTTTCCCTTCCCTTCTCTTCCCTCCCTCCCCTCTCCATCTTCCTCCCTCCCTCCCTCCCTTCCTTCCTTCCTCCTTTTCCTTTCCCTTCCCTCCCTCCCTCCATCTCCTCCCTCCCTTCCTCCCTCCCTTCCTTCCTCCTTTTCCTTTCCCTTCCCTCCTCCCTCCATCTCCTCCTCCCTCCCTCCCCCTCCCCCTCCTTCCTTCCTCCTTTTCCTTTCCCTTCCCTCCCTCCTCCATCTCCCTCCCCTCCATCTTCCTCCCTCCTTTCCTTCCTCCCCCTCCCTCCATCTCCCTCCCCCTCCATCTTCCTTCCTCCCTCCCTCCATCTCCCTCCCTCCCTTCCTTCCTCCTTTCCTTCCCTTCCCTTCTCTTCCCTCCCTCCCCCCTCCATCTTCCTCTCCCTCCCTTCCTCCCTCCCTCCATCTCCCTCCCTCCCTCCCTGCCCAGAGCACCAGTAGCCCCAGGGCCCTTTGTCCTTTGTCCCATTTGGTCCCTGAGTGCCAACAACTGAACTTGGACTGAAAACCTGGTGACACACAAGGGAGCCAGCACTGCAGAGAGTAGAGGGTATTGGGATGTGGGTGGAGTAAGCGCTGTTTAGCAGGGCAGTGAAGGAAGAACCAGGCAGGCAGGTGTGAGGACCCTGAGGAGGGACTGTAGGTGGCAAAGGGCTTGGTACATCCCAGTACTGTGGAGAAGGTGTCGAGCCTGGAGCCTTGTGACCTGGGAGGGGAACGGTGGGAAGGGAGGCTGCTGGGTGGTGTTGGGGCCTGCGTTTGTGCTTGACCCTGCCTGCAGTGGGAGTGTCGTGACTGGGGAAGGACGATTATTTGCACAGTGGTAAGATTGCTTTGAGGAGGATGCAGAGCGGATGGGGAGGGGAGAGAAGGACCAGGGATGGAAGCAGAGAAGCTAGAGCAAGGTGAACACTTCTGTTTACAAAGAGGCTGCAGATTCATGGGTGTGGATTGGCAGGGTCAGGGAGTCTTTGGGGTGTCTCCCAGCTTGTGGTTGAGGTGACAAGTGGAGGCTCAGGCATGGAACAGGCTGGAGCCATGTGACGCCACACTCCTTTGTAGAAGAGGTGGGGGGCGGTTAGCAGGAGACATTCAGGGCTAGGAGGAAAGATGGAGTTGTTTGGTGTCTAGATCTGTAAAACTCCAGGCACGGGTATGAGAGCCAGGAGGGCAGAGGCCCAGGATGGAGCTCCACAGAGTCTTTCCTGGGGCAGAGAGGCTCCCTGACCGATGACAGGCCCAGAGGAGGGGGCAGTTCCAAAGCCTGGGACTTCTTTGCATTTCCTCCAGGGGCCCTAGTGTGCTGGGCACCAATGGGTGGTGTGAGTCACAGGCCTGGGCTACTGGGGGCTGCTGTAGGGTGAGTGTTTGACTGGGGCACAGGGTTGGTGTCAGGGTCCAGAGGGCAGGTTGTGTGAGCTCGTCCAGCCTGGGAAGGGTAGGCTGCCTGGTGAGGGGTGGGCTTCCCTTCTTGAACACTCATCCTACTCTGCCTGCAGAGCTAGGCATTTGGTACCCATTGTGTCCTTCAGTCCTCACTCCCCTTCTCTGAGTGAGGTACCCATTTTACAGAGGAGGAAACTGAGGCTCAGGGAAGGTCAGTAACCGAGGTTCATAGATCTCTTGGCTGGTAGGTGATGGCATTGTAAATCTAATACCCACATGTCTGCTTAGAGAGGACCGTTTTCCTCCAGACTGGGAGAGGACAAGATGCCCTGTGTCCAGTCTGATGTCCCCAGACATGGGCACAGCCACCACCCCTCTAGTGTAGACTCGGGGGTTTCTATGAGAATTAAACCCCCAGGTGCTGAGACAGAAGGGTCACAGAGGGAATCTGGCCTGAAGCTAGATTCTTTATGCTTGGGCACGCTTACCTGAGTCTTATTTACCCATCTGTACAATGGGTACAACCACCCCAGTCCACACTGTGCCCTGGGTGTCTTAGCGCCTGCAGCCCGGGAGAGGAGGTCCCCTGGGGTTGGAATGACAGCCGTGACACCTTCCCCGCCCTCCTGACACTGAGTGCGCTCGTCCGCAGGACTTTAGCTTGCTGTACGAGGAGGCTCGGTACTACCAGCTGCAGCCCATGGTGCGAGAGCTGGAGCGCTGGCAGCAGGAGCAGGAGCAGAGACGTCGAGGCCGGGCCTGTGACTGCCTGGTGGTGCGGGTCACACCGGACCTGGGAGAGCGCATCGCCCTCAGCGGTGAGAAAGCGCTCATCGAGGAGGTCTTCCCCGAGACCGGGGATGTCATGTGTAACTCCGTCAACGCCGGCTGGAACCAGGACCCCACACACGTCATCCGCTTCCCGCTCAACGGCTACTGCCGGCTCAACTCTGTGCAGGTGAGGCCCTCGGGCCACCACCCCTGCCTCCCGCCACCTCCCCAGAGCCCTGGAGCTGCAGAGCTGATGGAGGGGGTTAAAAAAAAAATTGATCTGTACTTTTTTCCCTCCCAAAAGGACGTTCTCTACAAATGGCCCGAAGTGTTTTCAACCAAGTGTGCTTCATTTGACACCCAGATTCTGACTCTGGATTCAAATTAAACCCAGGCACCAGCAGAGGGACAGGGGCCCGGAACCTCTCTTTACACTACTGACCTGGGGCCACAAGTCCACAGTGCCTTTCTGGGCTGGTTTTTCCCACATGCATCTCAGCACTCAAAGGTGTTTTCCAACAGCACACTTGGTTTTGTTTTTATTGTTTTTATTTTTTGCAGTACTGGGGTTTGAACTCAGGGTTTCCACCTGAGCCACTCTACCAGCCCTTTTTTGTACTGGGTTCTTCAAGATAGGGGCTCATGAACTATTTGCCCAGGTTGGCTTTGAAACTTGATCCTCCTCAGTAGCTAGGATTATAGGTGTGAGCCACCGGCACCCAGCTCAGCACACTTATATTTTGAGATTTTTGAGGTTAGAGCAAAATTGATTGTGCAGGGAAAAATGTGTCCTGTCCCTCCCCTCTTCCCCGCCCCATCCCCGCCAACCCACTATAGGACACAGGGCAAGACACAGTGACCAGCCCCCACCTCACCGAGGCCCATGTGAACATGGAGGCCTGCAAAGACCTCCACCCTTAAAGGACTGCCCCTTTTCCTCTCCACCCAGAGTTCTCTGGAACTGAAGAGCCCTGAGGCCTCCAGCCATCTGGAACTCCCACTCAGAGAAGCAGGTGGCTGCCCAGAGGCTAGGGGGCAGGGCCTCTCCATTATTGGGGCAGGAGGCTGAGAGAGGGGGTGCCTGGGGCCACGTGTGCCCCTGAGGGCAGCAAGGTGTCAGCCTGAGGGGTGGGGGCGCGGGAATAGTCCACCCAGGTGGGCAGGCTGTGCCTGTCCCTCCTGCTGTGGAGCACAGCTGGTGGTGCAGCCGGGACCCAGGACCTTTGTCAGTGCTGAGACAGGTCTTACAGGAGCTGATAACCTGCTCTAGCTGGTGCCCAGCTGCCCATCCTGCAAACTCTTGCAGCTGGCCACTGCTGACCCCTCTTCCTTCCCCGGCAGGTCCTGGAGAGGCTGTTCCAGAGGGGCTTCAGCGTGGCTGCGTCCTGTGGGGGTGGCGTGGACTCCTCCCAGTTCAGCGAGTACGTACTTTGCAGGGAGGAGCGGCGACCTCAGCCCACCCCCACTGCCGTCCGGATAAAGCAGGAGCCCTTGGACTAGGCCCTGCCTCAGTGCCCACCTAAGGCCCCTGGGCCCTGGGATCACCCAGGGACCTGGAAACAGTGCTGGGCAGTCCTGCCTGAACAGTGGGCACGAGATTGAGGGTCCCACACTGGCCCGGGGAGCACCAGGTGTCATGGCAACAAAATGGGATGCCCCACGCGTGCCCACCGAAGGACTGTTGATGTGACCCAGGCAAGCTGGAACTCCACTGCCAGCTCCAGCCTGGCCTAATGTCCTCTGAGGCTGTGGGGACATCAGACGTCCCCCACCACACTGGAGCAGCTGTTTATCCCTCTGCATGGGTGGCAGACTCCGGCGAGCCTCCTTGCTTCAGGAGGTGGCTTATTTTTCTACAGTATTTAAAAACAGAGAGAACTCACTGCGCAGTCAGCGAGCTGACTAGGACCCACGCTGCTACCTGGTGCTCAGTTCTCAGTCAGGCGCGCGGCGAGCCGGCTTGGATGAGCTGCTGGGTACTTGGGTCAAGGTGCCTATAGGGACAGAGGTGGGGATGGCAGTGCTCCAGGAGATGGAGCAGGGCAGCTGGGAGGAGGGGGGTGGGGACTGGGTGACTCTGTGAGCATCTGAGACCCTCACCTTTGCCACTGCCTAGCGCTCAGGCTGCCCTTGGTGGGTCACCTGACCTTTTTGCCCCTTTGCGTGCACTCACATCTGGTCCCCATCCAGACTGGCACAGGGCCACGCCTTACCTCAGGAATGGGCCCCACCAGAAAAGGGACCTATCCGTCAGCAGCATCCTCTGGGTCCCCAGCTCAGGGAGCCACCCTCAGCTCCAATTTTCCCACACTAACATGTACACTGACTTTTAATTAAATTTGTTACATTAGCTTGCCAGAAAGACCTGAACACAGGCTAACCTAGTGCTCTTGAACCCAGATTCCAGTGAGGACTGGCCCTGGGGTGAGGTGGGGATTCCCTCACAGACCTGTCTCCCAGGTGACAGGCCCAAAGATGGACACCCCCAGCTTTGTCACACGTTGCTGTGTGCTGGCTCTTGAGTGGAAGAACTTGCAGAGAACTGGTGGGTGGAGCCAGCTGGCACCACCCAGTGTATAGTAACTGTAGGCTTGTACATGACTCTGATATTGTAAAGATGATGTATAATTGTCGTGAGTTTCTGTAAACACATCATGTCCCCTGTTCAATGCCATAAACGACGCTATATAAAGAAAAGACTGAGGCTTTCGTCCTGTGCCCAGGCAGCAGCTGGATTCCTGCACCTGGTTCTGCAGGGAGGTTTGGGGGTGGAGTTCTCTGTTGCTTCCGTTCAAATCCAGAAAACACCAGCCACGGTAGCTGGGGGGAGGGCAGGGCAGGGTCCCAAGCTTGGATTTATTTATTGCATTTGGGTATTTCTTTGCCGCTCTGCCTGTCCCCTCTGGGCACACAGATACTCAATTCTGATTCACAGCCCCTAACCAGATGCAAACAGGGAAAGGCAGACAGAAGGTTCCCGGGGGCTTCTGATCCCTGTCTTAAATGGTTGGGATTTTCTCTCTCACTGTGTCTTGGTGGGAGTTGAAGTTCTCTGTAAAATCCTACACAACAGGATGGGAGGGTGGCAGGCCATGGCTCAGGCTAGCTAAGGGACAGAGTCATGCAGCCAGCCAGGGAACGGCAGATCGCCTAAGCAGAGGACAGTAGTCTTTCTGTCCAAGAGAAGGAGTCTGAACGTCACACGGAGCCTTTTTGTATTTTTTCCTCGAAGTCCTTATAATCTAACCCACGAGGACTCTTTTACGTGCCCACTAAGGGCCACCAGCCTCGGTCTGCCTGGGGAGCACAGACCAGCAGCTTGCCGTCTGAGGCCAAGGGCAGACGCCATGCCACCATCCAGGCTAATTTGCCCGACAAACGTGCTAGGCTTCTGCCTGGCAACCGCCTACGGTCGGCACAGCTCCCATCTGAGAGGAGAAGAGAGAGTCGTGTTTATTTAAAAGGAAGTCTCGTGAAAACGGCTCAATGCTGCATGTGTTTATGGATCTTCCTGGCAAAATGGCCAGCGTGGGTCTCGATGGGTGGAGATTAATATTCTAAAACTGTGCTACCTTACTAAATGTTACTCTTTGCTACTGAAATGAAATCAAGAAGTATGATTTTCTACAAGCTGGGGAATTCCCAAATTTGGAGGGAAATACTGCGCTCCCACAATAATGCTGTCATTTTAATATAACTAGTCTCCAAACGATAAGAACGGTTAGTCCATTCCTTGGACAAAGCATTGGTGCACTTCCTGGAGCCAATCTATTATCAGAAACCTTTAGATGAGATACCATCAGTAGCCATGTTACTTCCGCTCTTCTAGAAACCTCAGAACCAATGACTCTTGGTTGTAGCAACTGGACAGAGAGCCATGCCAACATGCTTTCCTGTTTGCCACCAAACCTCTGCCAGGGCAGAGAGCTGGGCAGGTGGCTCCCACCACTGGTCCACTCACGGGGACTGAAAGCCAGATCACGCCACTAAAAATATTGGAAAGTACGTGTGTGGTTTTTTTTTTTTTAATTACTACTTGACTGTGTTCCTTAGAATAAATAAAGACTATTTTATAAGTTACACACAGCTCTGGTGCTCTGTTTGCCACCAGAGGGGAGCCATCAGAAGGTCCCTCTGGCTTGGCTTCTGATCTATCCCAGATCCCAAACCCAAGGCTTCCTGATTTGGGGACTGTGGTGAGAGTTCCACCCTATGCAGCTACCTAGTGCCTGAATACCTCATGTGCACCCTGCTGGCAGATCCCCAGAGTGAGTGAGCACAGGCTCCCTTCACCCCTGCCAGCCCCCAGCCCTAGACCCCAGAGTTCAGGTGTGGTGGGCCTTTTGTACTATGTTGGTTTTGTGCATGTGTGAACCAAACCCTAATACATTGGGAAAAGGGGCAGGGAAAGCAAACATTTCAAAATTGGGGACAGTCTCCTTGAAGCCCATGACCGCGAGAAGACTAGAAATTTCACTAAGCCCTGCAGAGCCTGCTCTTTCCTTGCCAAGGAAGCAGACCTGTGTTCCAGGGAAGGCTGTCTGCATGATGGTCCCAACCCAACTCACCCTGTTTTTCCCCCAGACTCTAGAGACAGGTAATGGCCACACTAGTGTAGGATACACCAGAGAGGAGTTTCTCCTACGTAGGTGACAGGTGGAACATACAAAGAGGGAGCTTCTGGAGGGTTCAGTTGCAGGCAGGAGACTCGGTACAAAATAAAGAGAGCTCCAGGCAGGGTTAGAGGGACAACTGATGGCCAGTGAGCAGTTGAGCTTGAACCTGACGTTTGGTTGGCCGTGGGGGTTGGGAGAAGTGCATTGTTGCAGTGTGACATTTCCCAACTTCACTTGATTTGAAGTTAGGTGGACAGGTGTCTAGCCATGACTGTCAAGGCAGCCTCTTAGCACTGGCCTTGTCTCCTGTGAAGAAGGCATGCTTGGCCTTTCCTGCCCCCCTCTTCCCACCCAAAGGAGGTGACTCCAGTGCAGGAGGGCGTCCCAGACAAGCCGACTTCTCTCTGGAGAGATCTTGACTCCAAGCTAGCAACACTGAAAACTCTGGGTCGCTCCACCAGATAAAAGTGTAGCCTCTTCATTGTCTGAAGCTTTTAGACTATCAACAAATGGATGTCTTTGTGAGTATAATGAGGTTTTTTTTTTTTTCCTTTTTTTGAGACATTTCACTGTGTAGCCCAGGCTGGCCTCAAACTTGAGATCCTCCTGCCTCAGCCTCTCCAGTGCTGGTATTACAGGCATGCGTGCCCACGCCCGGTGAGAAATGATTTAAGGCATGTTCATCAAAAGCAGCTCTTGCTCTTACTAGTGGGAGATTGCTCATTAGCTCAAACAAGGGTTCAGTATCCAAGGAAACCCACAAAGCATTACAAAGGCAAGGCTGTAATGAGCCCCAGAAAGCCAAAGATCATTTTCCTGCTTGATTTTATAACCTCATCCCAACCTGGAAGATGGGCAAGAGCACCAGCTCAGATCAACTGTATTTATAAAACTGGAAAATTCACCAAATGGGACAGAAAGACATTCCCTCCAGAACCCCTGTCTGCTGGGAGCTCTTCCCTAGCTGCATTCTGTGGCCCTGATATCCTCTAAGGGACCTGGGAGGTAACTGGTGTGGGACAAGACAAAGCAGCTTCCTGCCAGGAGCAAAGCTTGCACTGGTGTTCATTTAGAAGCATCGGTGTGTAGCTGAGCATGCTGGTGCACACTTGTAATCCCAGCACTTGATGCAGTGACAGAATTGTGGAGTCCAAGGCCAGCATGCCTCAAAAAACTATCAAAAAAAAAAAAAATCAGCATTTTCTAAGGTGGCCAAAGGGGACACAACCCTGATGAAGGCTGATGGTCACAAAGGGTGAGTTGAGCAGGGATTTGACCTCCTTCTGCCAGGGCCTTATAGCCCGTGGCTCAGTCCTCACCCTCATGACCTCTGTAAGCACAGAGGCATTTCTCTGTGACCTTTACTAGAAGGGAGATCCCAGCCCTAGGGAAGGTCATGTTCCCCGCCCTAGGCTAATCCTTGCATCTGGTTTGGGAGCCCCAGAAGCAGCTCTCGTTCCACAAACCCCGAAGCTGAGCAAGCAGGACACTTGCCTGACCCTCAGTGAGCTCTCCAAACCTCAGAGCTGCAGGCGGAATGGGGGACTCACTCCTGGGGGGGCCACTCCTGGGGATGGGTTTCCAGGCATAGCTGCCTGTTGGTAGCTGTTTACCCATGGAAAGTGGCCTCCTGCGTTTCTATCCCTCCATCCCTGTCCCCAGCTGTGCCCCCAGTGGAAGGATCTGTTGGTGAGAATTTACGCTTTTTTGGGGTAAGTCACACAGCCATGACTTGGAATGGTAGGCTGAGGTTTTGAATATTGCTTACAATACTTACCTCCCTGTTAGTTAGGACATGAGGTGCCCCTCCCCCAATGTGTTGTAGGCTTAGTTGCTGACAGATGATTGGGTTTTCTGTCACCTCCTGAGAGGTGACTGGTGCTTTCTCAATGGGTTAATCCATTGACAAGTCCATAGCTGAATGGTTATTAGGAGGTGGGGTCTAGTCAGCCACAAGGGTGTGACTTTGAAAACTAAACTTTGTCCCCGCCCCTTCCTCTCCACTGTCTCTGCTTCCTGTCCACCATGAGGTGAACCTCTCTGCTCCTCCATACCCAATCCGCCATGATGCTCTGCCTCACCACAGGCCCACAGTGATGGGGCCAAGCAGCCCTGGCCTGAAATCTTTGAAACCTAGACCTAAAAAGACTCTTTCCTCTTGTAAACTGATTTTTCTCAGATATTTTATCACAGTGATATAAAGCAAGCCAGCCTCTAGAAGAACAGGGGCCATTTCTTGTTGGCCAGCCTATGCCAGCCACACAGGCCTGGAGGATGACAACCCAGAGGCAAAGAGAAGCCAACTTGCTTATCCCCATGAACTGTTTGATTTCAATTGCTTACTTTTTTTTTTTTAAACGGTTTTGGGGTTTGAACTCAGGGTCTACACCTTGAGCCACTCCACCAATCCTTTTCTGTGATGGGTTTTTTGAGATAGGGTCTCATGAACTATTTGCCCGGGGCTGACTTTGAACCACAGTCCTCCTGATCTCTGCCTCCTGAGTAGCTAGGATTACAGGTCACCAGCACCTGGCTTCAATTGCTTACTTGAAGTTCTATAAAGTTATCCAGAAGAGAAACCATAGTCTCCAGGTTTGTCATGGCCACAAACACAAATTACCCCAAATTCCTGGATTTGCACATACAGCCAGCAACTTATTGTACCCCAACAGCAAAAGAAGACCCTGTGAAAGTCTAATGAAAGAAACAGAGGAAAAGAGGGTGCACTCCTGGGGACCACAGGTCAGCTGCATGCGGACTTTAGTGTTTATTTCTATTACCAAGAACAGCGCAGGTCCTGACAGCCATCCCTTGGCCCCTGGCCAGGGGTGGTGGAGGCGGGGATCCGGAGTCACAGCTGAAGAAGAACAGCAGGCTCACCAGGGCCAGCCCTCCCAAAGTCCACCTTACACTGAAATCACGGAGTGGGACAAAGTCCTCAGGGGCATCGAAGCAAGGAGGGAGGAGCCAGCCAAGGTGGAGCCCTGCAGAAGGACATAAGCCACCCATGTCCCTGGCTGGATGGGCAGGAGGTGGGCCACCAGCCCCAGCTGCTGCGGGCCAAAGCCGGCTGCAGGAAGCCGGTGTCTAGAATGTCACCAGCGCTTCCTCCCCTGTGTCCTGGATGGGGTCCAGGGCTCCCGGAGAGGCTGCGGTTTGGGGCGCGCAGCAGGGCTGGGCGGGATGCCTGCCTGCGGTGGACGCGCGCCCCGCCTTCTTGGACGCGAACACACCCCCCCATTTCCCCGGGCCCAGGCGACACGCCTGGCCCTGCAGCCAAACAGGAGGAAGGCAGATTTGTGCGAGTAAGTACACGGTCCTGGAATTCTCGCCGGTTGCCACACACTCCGCGGAGAATAACTGGGGGGGAAGGTTGCGTAACCGCCCGGGAAGCCGGGGCGCGCAGCGAGCGCGGAGCTCTCCCCGCGTTCCCACGGCAGGCAGCAAGCGATCGCGGGACCTGGGGACACAGCCGGACGTCGCCTTCGGGTGGCACCCATGCCTCGCTGCAGCAGGGTGACACCGTGGCTCCGCGGAGGGGTTGAGCGCCAGGGTCCCCCACCACCACCCTGGGCTAATGATTGGGGGGGTGGGGATGAAGATTAGCGAGGGCATCGCGCCCACAGCCCCAGGCCAGCAGCGGTGGCAGTGGCCCCGCCTGGCAGCGCCTAATGAGCCGCAGTGCCATCGCCAAGGCCCCAGGCTGGACGCACACCGGGTCCCCAGGGAGGGGGCAGCCTGGGGAAGCCCCACCCGATGTGATCTGGAAGAGTGACAAGCCCTAACCCCATCCCAGGGCCTGCGCCTGGGCAGCTGCTCCGGCTTCTCAGCCCCATGGAGCCCCCATGGGTGTGGGTCCATCCCGGGGGTGTGTGGGGAGCGGGATGAGTCACTTCCCCAGGCCCAGCCGCCTAGTGGAAGGAGCCACCCTCTCCTCCGGCTGGCGTCACTTCACAGCAACCCTCTCCCTGCTCAGGTCCTGTGGGATTGTAGTGGCACAGGGTGGGGGTGTGCGAGAGAGAGGAGAAGGGGAGCAGCACAGAGGTGGCCAAGCCTGCAGCCTCCAGGGTGGCCTGGCACCCCAGAGCACTGGAGCTGGCTTTCCTACCTTCTCTGCCCTCTGAGGGCCCTGGGCTCCCACTGCTCCAGACATTGGGGAGGCCCCCACCTTCCTCCCCCAGGCTCCCCAGACCAGATGGACACACACCAGGAAGGGAGGGTGGCTCTGTTGGCTCACCCTGGTGGGCACCACTGAGCTGCGGAACTAGCCTCTCCATTAATCTGGAGAGAAGCTTCTGGCACCAGCTCCCACTCCCCTGGCCTCTTCCCACTTCCCATTTCCTGGTGAAGGGACCTTGGAAACCCAGCCCAGAAAGGGAACTCATCAAGCCACCTCCACACACAGTCTCTCCTTTTCCA